TAGCCACAGAGGTGATAAACTTAATATACAGAGAAGGGACACCTGAGAAGTCAGCACAGTCTGGGAGAGTGGGGAGGATGACCAAAGGCCTTTCTAGTAAGGAGAGTGTTACATCAGGAAGGTAGCCATTTCCACCTTTGCTCTGGGGTCCTCAGTTTTTGTCCCAACAGGGGACACCTGGATTTGAACCAGGAACCTCTTGATCTGCAGTCAAATGCTCTACCCTTGAGATATATCCCCCATTCTGAAAAATATGATGCACTTGATACCCTTTACATAAATTGACACATGCTGATTGGAGGAGCCCAGCCAGCTCTGTCTCTCTGACCTCTGCACTCTCCTGTCACCAACTGCCCTTCCACTAGGAAGCTTTCCTTGGTCCTTCTTATATGTGGAACCCAATCCATGTGATGGAGCAGAGAGGGTAGATCAGGAACACAGGGGGTGCTCTGGGGGAGGAGGAGACAGATTATTTTGTCCTCATAGAGAGGCAGGAAGAGGTGAAGTCAGAACAGCATGAAGATGCTGGGGGCCTCACATCACATGGCTCTTGCCTTCCCAGCAAAGAAGGAACAAAGGTCTCCTAAAGAGAGCAAAGGAGCAGAGTGATGTTCACAACTTGGAGCAAAGACAAACTATTGCCACAGTCTGGCTGGGCACAATCAGAAGCCACTTGACAAAAGAAACTAACTTTATTTTTAGAACCACACACGCCAAACAAACGAAACAGCTCCTCAGGAAAAACCCTCAGAGCCCAACTGCCACCACCGGCTTCCACAAGCCTCTCACCCACACCAACCTCACCCCCTCCCCCAATCCTCCTGCTCTTGAGGCTGATTGGCTGGGTTGTGTGGGCGGAGCCAAAAAGTCCCCCAATGAGCAGCTCCGTAGTCTGAAAGGGCAGGGAAACAGCCCAATGAGCATCACCGCAGAGGAGCCAATGAGCTAGAAGTTTCTGGGGCCGCTGTGAGCCAATCATCAGCTGGCAGTCTGAAAGTTTGCTGGGGCCCCTTCGGCTGTGGCTCTCAACAAACTATGAACTTGGCACTGTGGGAAACGGAGATGAGGTGAAATAGAAAGGAATAAAAGATTTCTCATGAACAGAGGATGCTAGTTGAGGTCACTCTGCCACAGACTGTCAGGGCACCCTTTGTCTGTCTCTGTGCTCTACTCCAGCAAAGATGGGGACCCCAGAGCAAAGGTGGAAATGGCTACTGGCAATTGAATCCATGGAAGAAGGGAGCTTTGAGGAAGAGAAAGAGGCCACAGGCAAAGGCCTCATAGGAGCTGGAGTCATGACTGAGTGGCAACTGTAGGGCCCACAATGGGTACACAAACAGTAGAGCCACAGGGTTGCCTAGGATCATGGCCCAGAGAGAGAGATGGAGGAGAAGAGGGTCAACATGAGGATAATGAAAAGGTTCTGGAAGAGAAGAAGAAGAGGTAGAAATGAGGAGAGGTGTGAGGAAGGACTTTGCAGGTTCTAAGACCTTGAGAGGGGACAGCCATGAGTGTGGGTTGGGTTGGGGTTTTGTGTAGGATGAGACTTGACTGTGCATCTGAGCACACAAATAGCCAAAAATCCATACCAGACATTAACAAGCAAATTGAACCAGAAGTTTCTTTTTCTCCACATGAAAGTACCGTTAGGTGGGTTTGGCATGGCATAGCATAGGGACAAGTTGCCACAGTCCTTCTCTCCAGGTATTCTAGTGCTCTGCCTTCAAGGTCCCAGTTGGCATCTCCCACTTTAGGATCACAACACTGTCCATGGAACAGCAAAAGAAGACAAGAGACAAACTTCTCCCTGTAAAATATTGTGCTAAAGTGGATTTAGAGTGGGGCCTGAGAAATGGCACTCTGATAGACTGTTCAGGTGTAATTCATACATGGGGTTAAGAATAACCACAGTACAGCCTCAGCATGGGCTGCTTGTGGTAAAGAGAATGTTTATCTGGTGTGTACTGAAGAAGAGGAGGAAATTGCGGCATCTGTGTAGGAGAGGATGTCAAAAGTAAGCAAGAGTAGGGGGCACCTGGATTTGAACCAGGGACCTCTTGATCTGCAGTCAAATGCTCTACCCCTGAGCTATACCCCCTGCTGCTATGTATGTGTAATAAGCACCTTAAACCTGGATGGCCACTCCCAGGATCTGGAGATGTGCACTTGCTAGTGTTCTGCTATCATACACTTCCTTCTTGCTAGGCCACACCCCTTCCTGTCTATACACCTGTAGGTGTAACCAGCACCTTCCTCCTCCTTAGAACCTGGCTGAGTGTGGGACCTAGAAATGGTGGATATCTGCAGCAGGAACCTCCTTCACACTGAACTAGAGGAGCCAGAGTACAAGAGCTGGCTGCTCAGCAGACGCTTTGGAGGTGAAGGTGGGGGCTGGGATGGGGAAGAGCAAACCCTGGTTTCCCCCTGAGATCTCCTAACTTCCACCCTCTGGGAAGGGACCTAGGGATCCCGTGTGCCTCTGGCAGCTCCCTGCAGCATCTGACTATTGCTTTGATCTTTGCCTTAGTCATCTTCTCACTACTGTGACTCTTTTAGTCAGTTTTTCAACACTGAGATCAAAACACCCGACAGGGAAAATTTTAAAGAGGTAAAGTTTGTGTGGATCTCCTGATTTCAGAGGTTCATTCCATTCCAGCCAGCTCCATTCTGCAGGTCTCCGGGTGAGGCAGAACATCCTGGCTGAGGGTGTAGTGAAGGATAGCAGGTCAGGACATCACTCCAGGAAGCAGAGATTCCCCTCACCATGGATAAAATATACACTCCAAAGGCAAGTCCCTAGTCACCAGGCTCCTCCACCCACCTACCACCTGCTATAGTTACCACCCAGTTAAACTCTATCAGGGGATCAAGGCACCAATAATGTGAAGGCTCTCATAACCCAATCATTTTACCTGTAAACTTTCTTGAATTTTCTCACACATTAGTTTTTGGGGGACACCTCCCATCTAAATCATAATGGTGACCAAAATATCTAACCAGAACTGCTTAGAGGAAGAAAAGTTCATTTTGGATTCCAGTTTTCTGGGCCAAAGATGAGGCAGAACATTATAGAGGAAGAGTGTGGCAAAGGAAATCTGCTCAGTGCATGGTAGGCAGGAAGCAGAGACAGTGATTGAGCCTCCAGGAACTAAATATAACCCCAGTGATGTCTCCAGTGGCCTACTTCCTCCAGGTATGCCCCCAGCTCTCTGCAGCTATCCCCTCCCCAGTTAGTCTGTGAAAGTGCTTTATCTATCAAATGAATTAATGCACAGTTTAAGTCCCAGCTTATTTCTTTAGATGGGCAGGCCAAAATTAAGGGTAAGTAGGGGGCACCTGGATTTGAACCAGGGACCTCTTGATCTGCAGTCAAATGCTCTACCCCTGAGCTATACCCCCTGATACTTTTATGGGGCTTCATTATGTCTTTAAATCCTACAGCAACTCGAAACAACCTGTGACCTGTGAGTCACTATTTCAGAATGTGAGTTCTTGGAAGCTGCCAGCCTGGGTCAAAGGAATCTCATCACCTTGCTGCCTACAAGACAGCCTCCCCTTCTCAGAAGCACTCATCTTGTGTCCTCCCAGCCTCAGGACCAGGTGCAGGCAGCAGCCTGGAGAAGCATTGGCTTCTAGCATGGCCCTCATAGCCAAATCCTGGGCCTCGTGGCAGGTCTCCAACAAAACAAACTCCAGTGGTTGAGGTCTATTCTGACACTCTTGGTGACTGACCAACCTGACTCTTCTGTCCCAATATTCAGTTCAGGGAACTTTCTCAAAAGTAGAATCTACAACGAAATACAATCCTTCCAGCTTCTTCTTCTTTAGCTAATATACACTGAGAATGATGCAGAGTGATACCCTCCAAGAATTACAAGTAATTTAGGAATCTTTAAATATTGGAGGACCAAAAACAATACAGCTCAAGGACCAGGACATGCTCCCAGCAGCTTGGCAGGAGCAGGTGACACAGATGCCAACTGTTTGACTCTAAACCCAGACAGCCTGGGTCCCTGTCCCAGGAACAGGTCAGTTCCCCTCCTTGTGCCTCAGCTGAAATCTGTAAAATGGGGGAGAATAAGAGCACACACTTGATGGGTAGTTGTGTAGACAAGATGACTTAATCCATAGACAGCACTTCAAACAGCACTGTCACATACTAAGTTCTACACACTGTTTGCTGAACAAATAGAGTCACAAGGAATTAGCTCCACTTACTGAGTGGAGAAAGAATAAACATTAGAACTCAACCTGCAAAGACCTCACATATGGAACTATTAGAATAAATCAGAGTATCTTCCATTAGAAGGAATAGAAGCTGAATTAGGTTCAAAAACTATGAACAAATACATATTTTGAGTTAATTGGAGGAGACATTCAAGACATGAAAATTTAATTAGCATGTTTTCATTTTTATTTAGTTTTATTGAAATACAGCTTATTCAGTACTATGTGTAAGTATGTATAGCTTGATGGATTTTTACATTTATGCCTACACATGTAACCACCTGAATTAAATCAAGACACAGGAGGTTTCTAGCACTCAGAGCGTCCTTTGGACTCCTGTTTATTTCCTCCCCGCAGAACCTAACCACTCACCTTCACGGTGGATGAGTTGGCCTGCTCTGGAGCTGCATCTACATGGAATCAGACACTATATATTCTTTTGAATCTGGCTTCTTTCACCTTCTCCTGTCAATAAGATCCATTCACATTTGTCCACTATTGAAGTGACTTGTTATTTTTAATTCCTGCTTCCTGTCCCATAGTCTGACTCTACCAGGATTTATTTATCTATCTTACTATCAGTAGACATTTCATTTATTTCTAGAGTGAGGTTATTTTAGTCAGCTTTTTTCACTGTGAACAAAAGATCCACAAAGAACAATTTAGAGAAGAAATATTTTATTTGGGAACATGGTTTCAGAGGTTCCGTCCATGGATGGCCAACTCCGTTGTGCAGGCAGAGATGTGGCAGAACATCATGGTGGAAAGGCAGAGAAGAGCAGACCAAGACATGGCAGCCAGGAAGCAGAGAGAGAGACAGGCTTTTCAACCCTCACACACCTGCCATTTACACCCAGAACACACTAACATTGTCACTTTGTTGCTTTGCATTGTCTGTCCCTTCCGGCATATGGTCCGCCCCTTACCTTCAAGACCCTGCTGACCCTTGCCATTTCTGCAGAGCTGTCGTGAGACCACACCCAGAGAGCCTGGCTCCATTCAGGCTCTTCTCTGTCACAGATGAGGTGGCTTTGTGTTGCACATCATTCTTCCTCCCTAGACTGAAATCTCCTAAACAAGGACAGGAGACAAAGTGTCAAGTTAGATTTGGCTCTTCTCTGTATCACTGCCTCCAAAGCCAGGCCTTGCTCAGGACAATAAAAATTTAAGGAATTAATTGAGGGGCTTGTCTGCTGACTGCACAGGTCAACAGCCCTCCAGGGTTTTGTTTTCTCACAGATAGAGAAGAGAAGGGGAGGCTGCAGAGAGAGAGGGCCCCAGAGGCCATGAGGAAGGATTGCAGCAGGAAGAGAAATAGGTCTCCGGTGGGACAGAGTAGCCTTCTGCCTACTGGTCAGCCCTGCCTGCTCAGGATGGTGAAGTCACAGAGTGGTTTCAACACTGGAGAGGCACTCGCTGGAAGGAAATGTTGACTTGCCTGTTGGCTGACAGGGTATGTAATAGCTGGAGCATTAGAGAGACTAAGGCTGGTTCATATCTCCATGCCCACCACTCAACTTATATTATTCATTAAACTGTTGTGAGCCCTGACCCCAGGTAGATGGGAAAGAGAAATGGAAATCACAAACCTTCTGGACCAAAGACAGGCTTTGGTTCTCACTCCTTGACTGACTTGGGAGTTCATGGCATTCACAGGACTAGGCCTGCTTCTCTAGGGACTCATCTCTCTCCCAGCAGGGCAGCAGATCTGTTTTATTTCCACAAACTAATGCACTATAAATGCCTGCAGTAGACAGGGAAGGACTTAGGCTTTGAAATGGGGAAAAAGGAAGATAAAAAAAACAAAAAATAGGAACACTAGAGGGGCACTGCAGGGTGACTGGGTATCCTGTGGGGCCCACAGGAAGGAACCTTCCATCTGCATCCTGGTAGCTGAGACCCTGAGCAGGCACACAGTTGCCCCAAGCCACCTCCCCTCACCTCTTACACCTCACCCTCTGCCTGTCCCCACCATGCTGTGCCCTATGAGTTCTAAGTGACAGTGAACCATTCTGTCTTCCACACAACAGCTGCCCTTGCACCTTGAACCTCCTCTGAAGTTGTTGCTGCCTGAATTGTCCTGGCCACCTGCAAACAGAGAAGACACCCAGGGAGGGTTGTGCTCTGTGTCCTTAATCTTCAGAACACAGGGAATTCCACTTTCTCCATCAACATGAGAGCCCAGGGCTCTGCATGGGGCTCTGGGAGCACGCAAGGTTCAGCCATAACCTCACTACCACCAATCAGGATTCCATTTCTCTGCTATCGAAAGGGAGTTGGAAAGGTGGGTCTTCATCCACTGACCATTAGGTCCGTGGGCAGAAATGGCTATGAGTTTTGCACAGATTTAGGGCTTTTATTACATAAATTGTGCTCTGTAGGAGTATTTCCTAATGTAGTTTGGATCTTAAATGTCTCCTGAAGGCCCATGTGTTCAAGCCTTGGTCCCTGGGGTGGTGTGACTGGGAGGTGTTGGAGCCTTTATATGTGGACCTAGTGGGAGGTCCTCAGGTCACTGGGGTGTTCTTGAGGGAATAGTGGCATCCTGGCCCCTCCCCACTCTCTTTTGCTTTCTGGTCCTGAGGAGAGCGGCACTGGTCTACTACTCACTCCTGCCGTGATGGGCTCCCTCAGCACAGGCCCAAAGCAGCAGGGACAAAAGACCCGGACGTGGAGCCTCCAAGCTAATCTCTCCTCCTTTTCAGTTGGCTATCTCAGGAATGTGTTTTACTAACAGGATTCTGACTAACACACTTGCACAGAGCTATAGGATGAGAAATTGTGGTAGTGTGAGAAGAACCATGAACTCCCTTCCTGTTGGAAGCCATCCTGGGCCTAGCACAGCTCCTCTGCCCTGAGAAATAGAGGGACACGCATCCTCCAACAATGGTGGCTTTGTTTCATGATCTTCTCCAAGGACTTGGGTCCTGGAGTCTGGTGTCTGCAATAAGATAAGACCAGAACCTGAGTCTCTAGCAGACTCTCCAAAATAGTTCAGGATAGGAGCCACCCCATTCCCTCCCTGGAGGGTTAATTTTAAAACTAATTGTGGCAACACATATTGCAGTACTGGACATTGTTCTTAG